TATATATATATATATATATAGACCAGGGCGCAGTATTAGACTGCAGCAGATGTATATGCACTGACACACCAGAAACACACAAATATTCACATTCACACGCGTGGATAGAAACCGACTAAGAAACCCCTCGATTTGTTTGTAGAAAAGAAAAAAGAATTGCAGCCGAAAATTTTAATTTCTGGCGACAATTGTTTTTTTTTGTTTTCTTTTCTGGTTTGCTTGTTTACTAAGGTCTGCGGGAACGCTCCACGGTGTTCATGGTGATGCATACAGTTTAAATATATATATATATATATATATTCATATACATATATTATATATAAAATATATAAAAATATATAAAAATATATATTTCTTTGTGTAGGAGCTTCACATGCTGAGGTAAAGGGATCAGGTTTCAGTTGTTTCTGTTGCTGTTCATGTTTACGGTTGATCGTCTGCTGCGTGGAGTATAGGGTTTAGGGTTTAGGGTTTAGGGTTTAGGGTGATTAAAACTTAATGTGAGTCATAAACCCTGAGTAAGCGTAAACCCTAAACCCTAAATGGCGGTGGTTTCGTGCGTGCAGCTCCGAATGTATGGTGGTGCCGCCACCTATGTGGAGGAGTCTGCGAGCGTGGCTGCCTCTTGACGTTGAACACGAACTGTGTAAAGACCCAGAGACAGAAGAAGACAGCATAAACGCTCATGTATCTCGCCCGGTGACGTTGACGGATGAAACAGGCAAAAGAACATACAGACGAACTTGTCCTTTGTTGCAGCGTGTCAGTGTGCGCCCTCTACCTTCTCTTTCTTTTACTCTTTCACAAACTTCTCATGATACACCGCGCCTTCAACTCCCCCTAGAAAACCTCATCGTTCATGAACCTGGAGTTGGTGAAGTCCTCTGCGTCGTCCCGCAGCCTTTCTTGTCTATGGGTGCCGATCAGTGGCGGCAGATCCGCTTTGGCACTAGGGGTGTGTTTGTGTTTCACTTCTCTACAGAAAACACGAATAAATTAAACAATAAATAAATATTATATTATATATACACCTGCTCACTAACATCTACCCCTAAAGAATATTGCAATTCATGTTTTCTTATGGCTCAACCATACGAAAACATGATTTCTGTTTCAACAACCGCAGCACATGAACTCTCAACTTTCTCTGTGTTTTTTATGTTTTTGTTCCTGCAGTTCTCTCTGCGTTTAAAGTTGTAATGGACAGAGATAACTGGCGCGTTGGGCTGCAAGAGAAATCACCAGAACCTAACAACGATTCCGCCTGTGCTGCACGGGCTGCCTGCATGTAAGTGAAGCTCAGCAGAGCCATTAGCCTTTGGGTTGATGGCGCCATAGATGGAGAGAAAGAGGAGTTTATCTTTAGGTATCTATCTGTCGTTCTGGAGCTATGTTCCTTTTATATTGTTTCTGCGACGGAGAAAGCTTCTGCGCAAGCATCTTGTTTTCGTTGTTTTCATGCAGAGGCGAACAGATGTACGTGCCCTATACAAACCGGTGCGCTGATCCTGACTGCAGCCTCAAGATTCTCTTCGAGTTAAACCAGGAGACGAAGTGAGCTGAGCAGTATTGCTGTATTGCCCGCAGAGACTGCTGCGCTGCGTCTGCTGCAGCAAGCCAATGCAGCATCCTAGGCGGCTGCCAGCTTTCCTTCACTTTGGTGTTTGGTTCTTTGAGTAGTATGCACAGCAGCAACAGCGCGGATGCATAATAAACTAGACTGACGTGCACTGACAAAGAAGCGAAGTGTGCGCCTAGCTTCTCACATCAGCATACTTAATTTTTTTTCATAGTTCAGGACACTGATGACAAGAGAATGCTTTTGTAGAGTTCATGATTAGTGTTTTTCTTTGTGTGTGTGTTTGTGTGTGTTTGCTTGTATGCATGACTCGCAGAGTATGTGAAATGGCGTGGTGGGTACCCAGTGCAGTAGTGACCGCAGTTGCAGCGCTGGTGACCCTCGAACTGTTTGTCCTCCATCTTCGCCAGAAGGTGGTAGCTGAAGCTTGCTCAGGAAGACAGTGAAATATTCAAGTGTGTTGAGCGGGTCCTGTCGCTCTTAAAGGCTGGCGCAGCCAGCAGACCTTTCATGTTTGTGTATGGGGCTGTTCACGCAAATTTGGGTAATGCAGCCAACCTGTTTTCGGATTAAGCCATTATACAGGCATGATGAACGCTTGAGCCTCTTCTATAGAGATGCGTGTGCTTAGCGGGTAAAGCAAAGTCGTAGTATTATCTCCATAGGCGCGAACATAATTTCCATTTAGTTTTTTTAGGGTAAAGACACGACAGATAGGCAAACACCTGCTCGAAGTAGATATCTGAATAGTTGGGGTGCAATTGATCGTCTTGACCAGCCCTACTGTATACACAACACGAGTATGCAAATATATTCAACGCAAGCAACGCTGATGACCCACGGAATAAGCTGAGCTGAAATATGATTGGCACTGCGTGAAGGTAGGGGCGTCAGGCCATTGCAGAATGTAAAGGGCACTCAACAGACACACCGAGATAGCAGGGGACAGGGGGGCCAAGCATATCCACTAACTTCCTGCGACGTGGCTTTCCATCCACTGAATCACCGTTCGCAGCACAAGCTTCACCTTGTTGAATATCTCTGCTACCCAGGGGAGCGGACTGATGCCAACGGTGCCGATGAACTGTGTTGCAGTACTCGCCAGCAACTCGCGCTGCAGAAGATATCAACTAAATTTAGTCTTCTATGTGTAACAACTGATGTTGTAGACGAGTGTTAATGCCAATTTTCAACTTAGTTATCTCAGCACGAGATTGAAGACCGCTTGTAGCCTGTAGCAGTCCGGGGTTTCAGCAAAAAGGCTGGAGTCAACAGCCAGGAAACTGATCTTTATACAACTAAGTTGCGGCAGATGTGTGCGAGAGGAGGTGAAGAGCTACACCCGTTGGTGCTTGCATATCTTGTTTCGTTAGCTGCGTCCGGTTCTCCTGTAGTTTTTCCTTTTCTGTCCTTATCGCAATGCCCCGTGCTTGCCCAGTATGCAGTTGCATGGAAGCATCCACGCATTTCACGATATCATAGCAGTTGTAGTGCAAACGTGTGTATAACGTGGTGGAGAATTGCGAAATGCTTTTTGCAAACGCAAGGAATTGAATCCTAGCCCCAGAGGCTGAGCTACGTCGGTAATCCTCTTCGATCTATCTCGAATGCCTGTACTGCAAGCTAACGGTAGAGAGTGAAGAGCATACATCTCGGCTCACCTGCGCAACCTTAGTAACTTGCTGGCAAATATAACTAAGTCCAAACACGGCTACCAAGAGGCAATTGGGGCGCGAATGCCCGGTTTGCCGCAGCTGATGGATAGCTAGCAGGTGACATGGGAGGTTCTGCATTATTTGCACGAATAATGTAAAACCTTCGCGTCGCCACAGGCAAGCTTCGGATTGAATAACACTTGGCTAGTGAAAAGAAGCTAGTAAGGGCAATCGATGTATACGTAGTGCCCCTAAATCCTAGCATAGGGGTTAGGGGCGAACCGGTCAACTTACTCACGTTCCGCTCTTTCAGATTCACTTTTGCCAAGTTTGTGCCACTGTGTACTTGCATGCTCCAGAAGTGCTATAATAAGTATACTCTGCTTTAGGGGCTCCTGAATTACTGTGGCTCTGTGCATGGTCTAACCAGCCCTTCAAGTTTGCCGTTAGAATGCAAAAAGGAACATTTAGAATGCTTTGCTTTGTCATAAGATGTTATATAGATATTTCAGCAGCACCAGATATTTGCGTATATTGAATCAGGGAAACTTAGCTGAAATAGGCCTGAGATGGAACTACATTTTACTGGACTTGAACGGTGCTGCTGACGTTCTCTAGGTGTTGTCCCCAGGTAAAAGAAAAGCTCTACCTTCCTCTAAGTCTTAGGCACACCTATCAGCAGCGGGAACATCTGCACAGGATTCTTTGTTTACGTCAATGAGAGTACTGCAAGCACTTCCACACCACGGTGGCGATTCGTTTTTATAGAAAACCGTCGGAGCCCCGTTCCGCAACAACTGCAGCATTTGAGAAACGCCGCGTACCTCATCGTCAGATATCAGAAGCCACAATTAATACCAAAGATTAGGTTTAGTATGCAGAGAAGAATCTAGCTTGCAGGCGAGCGCGTTTAGTGCTAAGGTCCACCCAGCAGAAAGCTAGTGGGCGAGCACGCTTCGTAACTGATTTTTACTCATCTGAGTATGGGGACACAGCTCCAGAGATTGCTTACTTATAGCTTATGATTCCTGCAATTAAGTGGATGTCGTGACTCAACCTAACGCAGTATCGATGCCTCAGTTGCGTTCGCTGTGACGACGTAACACTTGAGGGGATCATGAATTGTACCGTGAATGCAGAGCGGTAAGAAGTTGCATCCCTGTACCTTTGTGCACAAATTATTTCGCTGCAAATTCTCGCAACCCTTATCTGATGGAGGCAGATGCTGTAGCTTCCCGCTGCACGTGACACACACTGGGTGTCTCCTTAGTATCAAGCGCGGGACCTACTAAACATAGCAGAGCAAACCACTAGACGAACGAAAGTTTTCTGATATGAATTGAACGCGTTTTAGAACTTCACTAAGGTGAAGGAGGGCCTGAGTGTCAAATGAAATTCCTAGCATCCCCCCGGGAGGTGAACATAAGGAGCGTTAGAACGCAGTGAAGGTGACAGAATGGCTAACTATCATCCAAAATTACTGAATTCCCTACGTGGATGACATGAAGACATAAGTGAAAGTGCACACATTTGTGACTGAAACGTGCGGCTAAAAAGTGCGAAACAGGCGATGACGGGCACCAAGTTAGTGTGTGTACGTTCATGCAAAAACAGTATGAGCATATACGTCGTCGTCACGGCTAAAATAAGCAAGTATGCTCTATCTATCATCCGGCAGAGGGAGTGACCCGGAGGCCCATGAATTGCGCATGGAAATTCACACGTTTTCTGCGCAGCATAATTACTGACAGGGGCCCGGAGTTCTTTTTCGCAATAGCTAACGCGAATTCGTGAGGTGGTTGAATATTGACCATAACGCCACCACCATAGTCCAGGAGGCTTAACCGGTTCAGAGCATCACCGAAATTTTCCTGGTATCTTCTCCCAAAAAGGTAGCAATGTCACCCCGAGAAGGAGTAGCTGGAGGAGACTTGGATCCTGGTTGCACGTGCAACGACACCCAGAGACAACATAAAGCGAGAATACTGCGTTCAATGACCAGGAGACCAACAGCGCAAGTGGGATACTGAGGGTCGCTTGCGCAAAGCAATTCCAGAGGAAATTCTACGTGCATTCCGCAACTCGGTAGCAGCGGATGCAAGCATCCGTATGCGCAATGTAGCCTAAAATTTGGCTGTGGTCAACCATTTGGTGATAGCTGCTCCTTCATGACTAATTAGGCGCTCTTATCTTTGTGTGGTATGCTCCGCGTCTCTGCCTATTTTTCCCTTGTATTCTACGCGCTCGCTTCTATGCATAGGTAGCCAGGCACCGCCGCTGAGAATACTCCCAACTTTTCATTTTGGTGTTGGCATGCCCTCTGCCGGCGCGTGCACTGTTTTTGCTCGCTGACCGCAATTCGTGCTTTTAGCTAGGCAAGCAAGCCTGCATCAAAGTGCTGCACCGAAACCAGTCGAACGGAGTGGAGGGCCTAGAAGGGGCCGGCAGCTGCAAGTTTTGGTTTGACAGCAAATCGAAACAGCATTCACCTATGCCAGTAGCATACAAGTTCCTTGTTGATGGCGCGTGCAGCGCGGTGGAGAGGGGCGCGGAGAAAGCGGCATGGTCTATGTAAAATTGATGCGTGTGCTTTTACTTGCGGGCAGCTTGGCTATAAAGGGTCTTGTTCCTTAAAACCGATACCAGCGACTGCTTCGATTGGGAAAATGTTCATTTAGCGAGCTTTCGACTTGAAAAGACATCAAACAATTGCCTGCTACTCATGCGGTTCCACAGAAAGCGAGCAGAAGTATCCGGTGAGAAGGAGCTCTATACCCGGTCGGGGCGGAGTAAATGAATGTCTGGATTACTTGTATGGCAAATCGATCACCAATCCTTGACGCACCTGTCAAAGAGTTCTCAAAACTACGTTAGCGAAAGAGCTCTTCAGTGGCTTTGCCAGCTCACGCAGGACGGCGACACAGTCAAGTATATCAAATGTATCGCTGACGCAGCCGCTGGCGCAGTCTCTCGGTGCCCAACCTGTCCGCCTGGATGTTCTGCAGCTTCGTTTCTCTGTTGCGATATTGGCTTTTCCTACATTTCTTTATCCTTACTCCTTAGATACTCACGAGGCCAAACGTTTCGCTGTACAGCTGGGGAAAAGATTCGAAGTACAGCATAGACGGCGACTATTGTAGTCCCAGACAAAGCGTGGGCATCGCCGATGATATGCTCCAGCTGCGCTTCGCACAAGGGCTTTGCGCAGAATGAGCGTTCGTGCTCTACCACGGCATGGTGAATCAAGACATGCTTAAACCGGGTGTTTGGGTTGTTTTGGCTACCCGTCATACACCCCTTTACGGAAAAACATCTCCTCACCTGCCCGAGAACTCAGCAAGGAAGGCCCAAGAACGCTCTCTGACCCTGGTTGTTGCAAAGTCTTTTTATCCCCGAACTCCTCTGAACAGATTTCATAGTGGATTTACTATCTGTGAGAGACAACGACAGATGACCTCTCCACTGTATGTGGAACTTCAATGGAAGCATGGATGGCAAGCATTTCCCTTGCGGGGTCAAGAAGACATGTACAGAAACGCAGAGAATTGGCTTTGTTCCAGGCCATACGTCCCGCCTTCTGAGTTATCTAGCGGATACACGCTCATTGGGAGATCCAACACTTCTCTTGACTCCGCCCTTTTTCTGCGCCGCTGCATGCCATACTCATCATTTTCCTCCAAAAATGGTTCATCCCTTTCCTGTTCATTTCTTTGCCGTTTCCGAGAAAATTCTACGGTATAGAGATACGTTAGAGTAAGTACAACATGCCCATCGTATCTTCTTGAACTTTTTCTCGCGATGTTGACTCCGATAACACAGCTCATGGTGCTGGCCTCTTGAGGGTCAAAAGCTAGACATTTACCGTCCTCATGGAGGCAAAATTACAAGTATGCTACTATTGAATGGGTTGCATATCTTCTTCTGAACAATCCCTACTTTGTATCTCTGAGTCAAACTTTGCCAACCTATTCTTAAAGTCCTCACCACTGGATGACATCTGGCGTGCGGGCACACACCCACTTACGTGCGGTGAAGCTGAAAGGCAGACAGCTTTACTTACAAGAGCAAACAGGGGTCTGCACTTTTTCGATGATTCAGGGATATTTAAGACGCAATCCCGCCCGCACAATCTTCTTGAACCGCTTCAGTTAGGCCCCGGTTTGTCTCTCCAGGTTTTACAGCGACGCCTGCAGAGTGCTTTACGAGGCAGAAGAAGGCAAGCAAGACATGCGTGAAGCACTAGTGCAATACAATTTGTGGAAACTATAAGCCGGAGAAGTGCTTTAGAAAGCGGAACGAAGATACTAAAGCATAGCTGAACTATAAATGCCACAGTATAGGTGGAGAAGCCGGCACTCTGTTGGCTATACCCTACGGGCTCGGCAGCAAGGCCCACGCTTGAGGCATCGCGCACTCAGCACTGCTGAGAACTGAAGACAGTTCTTTCTTGGTGATTAGCAAAACTTCCGGTTGTCTTTATCATGTGGTGAGTTTTTCGTTAGTCATTTTGGTGGCCCCGGGTGGGGTGTTTAGAAGCTCATTTAAGCTAGCCAGTTGCACAGGCTCATGTATGTACCAGGGTGGGCTAGGCTTAGTACACGGATAGAGAACACGATCCCGAGTCTATACTAGCGTTTCAAGGGCGAGACACTCATGATAAGAACAACGAAATATACTTTTTTCGAACAGGATCCGTGAAAAGAGTGAATCATGAAGGTCCCAGGAATTTCGTCCTGTAGGCAATCGGAGAGCTGCATATTTTCGTAGCTCTGTATCGTAGTCCTTTTAAAGCTGCTGGAAGTATTTACACTTGCTACCTATGCTAGCTCTTGAAGGCCAAGTAAGGATTCAGCAGCTGTGTACAGTGTCAGAGCATGAATCAAAAAGTGTAGTGAGGGTCCCTGGCCGTAGCTGATGATTATACAGAGCTGCAATACAGTAATATACTTAAGAAATAAGTTTTACAAAACCAGCTGACTTATCCTCCAGTCCCCAGGAGTCCTAGGCAAGGCATACCAAGGACTTGTAGCAGCAAGGTGCGCTGCACCGCATCAGCAGCGGTCTCGTCCCCGCCGCAGCAACTAGTGCTGTAGGGAAAAAGGATACACCAGCATCTGAACTACCCTCGCTGCATGCGCTTGCTCCGGTTAAACACTTCCTTGGCCCTTTATAGCTAGCTTGCGCACCTAGAATTACATGTACCAGCGTCAGGTAGACCATGCTACAACCTCACACCCTGGAACGCCGACGATCTACAACCTGAATGTATTGAGCGAAAATGTTTGCTCACATGAAAAATATGCAAAGCATAGAACTGTCTAACATAAAACGGTCGATTTGCGGGTGATGCTGTATTCAAAGTTTAGTTGGCCGGTCCAACACCTGTAGATTCAGCTTGACAGTACCAAACAGCGACTTCACCGCCCCTAAGCTGAGCTCACTTGTGGCAAGTGTACTGGAGTTAATCTCATCTTTACAGAGCTAATATCCGTCTAACAATCCTGTCGTTACTCTATTTGCAGCTCATGAGTGACCTATAAGCGACGGGAATTGTTCCCTGGACAGTAGTGGTTCTTTACTACCGGTGAATCCATAACTAGTGATTCTGTCTTTTAAAGTAGAATAGTTTATTGTGACCGCATATAATATCAATAAACTGGCGGCGCGCAGGAGCCTGTATCGTGGAGAGCACACGCTTAGCGGGCGGTAAACCGTTCGTACAAAAGTGATGTTAGGGCAGCGACACGCTGAAAAATGCAAAGAAAAAATCAATTGGGATAGAATGGGGGAATAAAAATGCCTTTGAAACCTTCGTAAATCAATATTTCAACTGAACGCGAGACGAGTCGGGCATTCAGAACGGGTCACTCAACGAACGCCAAAACTCACTCGTGGCGACGGTGGAGGACTGGTTGAAATTCCCAGCATGGATAGCGATTTTACCAAACATTTTCTTAGTTTTATTAGAAAAACATTCATGAAAAACACAGGGTGTTGTAGGTCAGCATTTCGCCCAAAGCGGAGCCGTGGGCCAGGTAAGGTGTGTTCCGATAGGTCAGCTGCGTGACCCCACACAACCCTCCCCGCAACTCACCTTCGCAGCCACCTGAACAGAGACAACTGGCCATCATATGGTTATAAAGTTGGTTTTTTTGAGGAAGTGTGGTAGTTGAAGACGCTTTTTATCCTAATTGTGCGCAGGTCTTGGTTAGCCCAAAGTTCGGTCACACCCGGTGAAGATGAGGTTGCACTCGTCTTTCTTTCTCGTGCTGCCGGGTGTATGCCTGGCGGCCGAAGTTAGTTCTCAAAGTTTTGAAACAGTTGAGAACACCACTACCTATCAGGATTCGCAGCAGGACACCACTGATGCGGTGACAAGAAACATGGAAGCGGAGGGTTTCAGCCTTCCACAGACAGAAGAAGGTTATGTTGAACAAGTCAATGCGGAAGGTGAAGAATCAGATCGTCCGGACTGGAGGAAGATGCTCAGAAACAGGGGTCAATGCGACACAATGACCAGCAACACCTTCACCGTTTCAGGCTCTGCCGAGGAGCAAGCTGGTGAAGCCGAAAAGGCAGCTGAAAGCGAACAATACGAAACAACCGGATACAGCCAAGGAGACGGTAAGGCGGACCATTCCACGGGAGCTGATGTTTCAGGTTTCCCTCCCCCTTCTGTTCCCCACGACCCTACACGAAGAAAAATCTCTCCTGCCGCTACTCCTTACGAACGCCCATCTGATATGCGTCGGTATCTTGCCAATGAGGATGCAGATGCCGAAGTTTCCGAGGAACATCAGATGACCGAGACGGCAGTTGGCCGTGAGTTGGGCAAGAAGAAGAAGGCGGTATATGTTGCTGAACCTGTAATGAAGGCACCCGCCCCAATGATGATGCCTGTGCCGACCAAGAAAGCTGCTCCCATGTTCGTTGAGGCTGCCCCCACCAAAAAGGGAAGATACCTCGCTGCTGTAGATGACGCCGAGACCCAATTTGAGACTGAGCACTTCGAGACTGAGCAGGAAAACACAGCCAGTGAACGTGGCTTGGGCAAGAAGAAGAAGGTTGTAGTTGCTCCAGCACCCATGAAGGTTGCTCCTCCCCCGCCACCTCCCGTTATCATGGCCGCACCCACTAAGATGGCCCCTGTTCCTATGGCCATTCCAGCTGCTCCTACCAAGAAGGGAAGGTACCTTGCTGCCGTGGATGAGGTTGAGATGCAGGTCGAGGGCGAGCAGTTCGAGACTGAGCAATCCGCCAGTGCCAGCGAGCGCAGCCTGGGAAAGAAGAAGAGAGTTAGTTATGTTTCTCAGCCAATAGCTGTGGCGGCTGCCCCCGTTATGATGGCAGTGCCTGCTCCGGCGCCTCCTCCCGTTGTGATGACAGTGCCTGCTCCGGCACCTGCTCCCATGGCTGTTCGGGCTGCCCCCAGTAAGGCGGCTGCTCCTCTGGTGGTTGAGGCCGCTCCCGCTCCAGTGGCCCCTGCTGCCGTGGTCGTTGAAGCCGCCCCGACAAAGATGGCTTCTGCTCCCATGGTTGTTCGGGCTGCCCCTACTCGGCCGCCTCCTGTGATCATTGAAGCTGCCCCTTCTAAGATGGAATCTGCACCTATGGCCATTGAAGCTGCCGCCCCTCGCATTGAATCTGCACCTGTAATCATTGAATCTTCCTCTTCTAAGATGGAATCTGCACCTATGGCTATTGAATCTACCACAACTCTCATGGAAACTGCACCTGTGATCATTGAATCTTCCTCTTCCAAGATGGAATCTGCACCAATGGCCATTGAAGCTGCCTCCACTACGATCGAATCTGCACCAGTGATCATTGAATCTTCCTCTTCTAAGATGGAATCTGCACCTATGGCAATTGAAGCTGCCTCTACCGAGGTGGAATCTGCACCTCTGATCGTTGAAGCTGCCTCATCTAAGATGGACTCTGCGCCTATGGCAATGGAGGCCACTCCCATGAAGGCAAGGTACCTTGCTGCCGTAGATGAGACCGAGATGCAGTTTGAAACTGAACAGTTCGAAACTGAAGGTTATGAAGCTCAGAACCAGCGCA